TAACTCCATGTCTTCCTAAATAAATATATAACTTAGAGTAACCACACAGGCAAGAAAAATCCAAAAGGGAGCATGTGGTTGGAGAGAAGCACTAGAGAGGGGAGTAGCAAGGATACCATAATTTGGGGCATAGAGGTTCAGAATTCAGATGTCATCTTGGTGGGTTTTTCCTTTGATGACTATGAAGTGTCCTTTCCCATATCTTTTAATTAATTTTATTTGGAAGCCTATTTTGTTAAATATTAGAATTGCCACCCTAGCTTGTTTCATGGGTTGATTTGCTTGGAAAACCTTTTTCAAACCCTTTAATCTGAGCTAATGTCTGTGTTTGATTTTGAGTTGTGCTTCTTGTTTTAAGCAGAAGAATGAGTCCTGTTTTTACACCCATTCTGTTAGCCTGTGTTTTTATTAAGGAATTGAGTCCATTGATATTGAGAGATATTAATTACCAATGATTGTTAATTGCTGTTATTTTAGTGGTGGTTGTCTTGGTAGTTCGTGTGTGTGTGTTTGTGTGTGTGTGTGTGTGTGTGTGTGTGTGTCCCTTCCTTTGGTTTGCTAGCATGAAATTATTTATTTACTGTATTTTGCTGGGTATACTTAACCTTCCTTTGGGGGCAGTTTTCTTCTAGTACCTTTTGCATGGAGTATATTTGCTGATAGATAATGTTTATGTATGATTTGTGGTGAAACAGCTTTGCCCCAGCTATGGTTATTGAAAGTTTTGCTAGGTATAGTAGTCTGGGCTGGCATCTATGGTCTCTTAGAGCTTGTAGAACATCTGTCTACGGCCTTCTGATTTTAGAATCTCCATTGAGAAGATGTGTGTACTTCTAATAGCTCTGCCTTTATATATTATTTGGCCATTTTCCTTTGTGGAGTTTAATGTGCTTTTTCTTTTGTTCTGTGAATGTAATGTATTGATTGTTAAGTTTCAGGAAGACTTTCTTTTCTGGTCCAATCTTTTTGGTGTTCTGTAAGCTTATTGTACCTTTACAAGCATCTTCTTCTTTAGGTTAGGGAAGTTTTCTATGATTTTCTTGAAAATCTTATTTGGGACTTTAAGCTGGGGATTCTCTCTTTCTTCTAATTCTATTATTCTCAGTTTTTGTCTTTTCATATTGTCCCAGATTTCTGGGATGTTTTGTAACAGGAACTTTTGGATCTAACGTTCTCTTTGACTGATGTATCAATTTCTTCCATTGTATCTTCTATGCCTTAGAGTCTCTTTCCCATATCTTGTATTCTGTAGGTGATGCTTGTTTCTGTAGTTCCTGTTCCCTTATATAATGTTTTAACTAGGGTTTCTATTTCTGTGAAGAGACACCATCTCCACGGTAACTCTTAAAATGAAAAGCATTTAATTGGGGTGGCTCACTTATAGTTTCAAAGTTTCAGTCCATTATTATGGAAGGAGCGTAGAGGCATGCAGGCAGACATGATGCTGGCTATGTGTTAAACAGAAGGTAATAGCAAATAGGCTGTCTCACTGGCATGGTTTGAGCAGATACTATCTTCAAAACCTTCCTCTGCACTGACACACTTCCTCCAACAGGAACATATCTACACGCATACCACACCAGGAAAGCCACACCTCCTAATAATGACCACTGTCTTCAGAAGCCAATTTTTTCACACAACCACTTAAATTTTCCATTTCCAGCATTTCCTTGGTTTGTGTCTTCTTTCTTGCTTCTACTTTCATTTTCAGGTCTTGAAGAGTGTTTTTTCATTTCCTTCACCTGTTTGTGTTTTCCTGGATTTCGTAAAGGATTTATTCATTTCCTCTTTAAGAGACTCAATCATATTCATAAAATTGGATTTAAGTACATTTTCTTGTGTTTCAGTGTATTAGAATATCCAGGGCTTACCACAGTATAGGACAGCTGGGCTTTAATGGTGTCATATAGTCATCAGAATTAGGGATTATTATAGGCTTAAATGCCGATTTATGAGTTTATCTTTGCTAGATGGATGCTTTTTGATGTTTTCCTCTTTGGTTTTTTTTCTCTCTGGTTTTCTGGCACTACTGCCTGTGGTTCTGGTGATCAGTGAGTTTTCAGTCTGGAAGGGTGTTTCTGTGGGGATTTGGTGGCATCCATGGGCTCTGGGGTTATGGGTACCAGCTTGGTCTCTGGAATTGATAGTATTGGTGTTGTCTCCGGTAGAGGAGGTGTCTCATGATAGAGTTGTGTTCTTAGATATGGAGCCTGGGGAAAGATGCTGTTGCGGACTGCTGGGCGAGTTTTAAGAGTATCAGTGGGCAATAGGTGGTGTTTTACCTGGGGTTCTTAGTACTGGTGTGGTCTCTAGCACACCAGGTGCATTATGCTAGGGTGTGGGTGCCATCGTAGGAGAGGTTGACTTGAAAAAGGGGAAAGGGGAAATTAAGTAATTATAATTAATTTTTAAAAAATCATTTCTTAAAAAAGAAGCAAAAGGTGGTACAAGACACACAAGGCTAATGTCAAATGAATCAAATTCACCTGTAGTGTCCTAGGAAGGCTTTAGACATTTTGAGATTTAGTGCTGGCAACAAAGTGTCACCATATCTTAGTTGGCTTGGGATACATAGTGGGAATTACAGGAGCAATTTCTAAACTATTTTTGTAGCATGTGCACATCTCAACCACTAAAAACAGTGGACATGTACAATTATGTACATGACAAGTTAATGTTAAGTTATTGTATCTCAAGTGTGAGGGATTGCATGTGTGCTACTGAAATTACTTTCTGTTTAAAGAGTCAGCTAATCCTACCAAGGCTTGTTAGCTGCAATTTTAGAAGGAGCTCAGGACAGAGGACACTGAAATTGCATTGCCAACAACATGATCAATACATAAACTCTCACCATATTTCACAGAATGTCACACAGCATGTTTTCTTAGCAAGAAGCCAAAGCACTGCCTACAGGTGACCAACCTCTACATGTAACTCTTCAGACATGAAGTTGTCTTCCAGACCAGTTGTGCAGTGACAAAAATGGAAAAACTTATTCCCTGCAGGAGATAAGTTGATTTCAAAGCTATACTTGATAATTCCTTGGGGTGACATAGGTATTCTAACTTTAGATCAAATACTACTGCTTTCTCATTTCATTATGAAGAAAATCAAAGGAAAGAGATTAACAGCAATGTGTAAGAGAAATCATTTAGTATTAGAATCATCATGTAAATTTGAAGATGGAGTTTCTGTTTTGCCTAGTCCCACCATCATTCAGTCACATATAAACACACTGAAGCTTATATAAATTATAAACTTTTTTGTCAATGGTTCAGGCTTCTTATTAGCTTACTCTCTCTTAATTATTAACCTATTTCTGTTAAACTTTTCATTGCCCTGAAGCTGTGGCCTACTCGTAATGCGTCATCATGTTACTCCTTCAGAGGCTATCTGATGTCTGTCTGTTAACTCAGCCTCTGTGTTCCTCTTCCCAGACTTCTTCTGCTCCCCTGTCTATGGCTACATACAGCCTGTCTATCAGCCAAAACCGCTTTATTTACAACCAATAACAGAAACATATATTCACAGCATATAGAAGGATATCCCCCATCATACATTCTGTTTGTGTTTCATATAAAAATATTTGTGGTTGTGCATGTGAATATGCTCATGTCTATATGGGTCCAGGTATATGGGAGCATGGCCAAATACATGTGTATGTATGTATGAGTATATTAATGTGCACATGAAGAGACCAGAGGAAAACCTTGGATGTTGTTCCTCAGGTTATGACCAGCATGCTTGCTTGTGTGTATGTGCATATGTGTATTGGAATACACAGGTGTGAGCAAGAATGTGGAAATCAGAGGTCAACCTTAGGTGTCATCATTAGGTGACCACCTTATTTCTCTCTCTCTCTCTCTCTCTCTCTCTCTCTCTCTCTCTCTCTCTCTCTCTCTCTCTCTCTCTCTCTCTCTGATACTGGAAGCTAGTGGTTATGCTAGGCAGGCTGAGTACTGGGCTCTAGGAATCTGTCTGTGCTCTCACCACAGCACAGTCACCATGCCTAGCTTTCTATGTGTGTGCTGGAAATCATACTCAGGTGCTCATGGCTCCATGGCACTTACCCATTTCCTTTGTTTTGGCAAGCATCAGCTAGAATATTCTCTGGTTTTTTCACCTTTTATTGTGAATACACAGAAGTCTAAAATTTTCCTCAACAATTCTCCCAAATACAGAGGGAAGGAACTAAAATTCCATACTGGAGGCAGTGAGCCCTAACACACACTGTGACATCTGTCTGTGTTTTCATCAGGGCACTTCTATGTTAGCATAAAAGAATTTATCTTTTATGTTCTAGTAGTAAAATCATACTGTGAAAGCAACCTGTAGTAATTAAAGATGCTGATACCACAATTCTCAAGTAGGTTTGAGGACTCTGATATGTCAAAAAAATAATATTGCATTTTATAAATGTGAAGGCTTCCTTGGAAAAACATCGATGATATCACATTCCTTCACCTGTATTACTTTTAATAGTGGCTAGAACTGAGATAATTATTTCAGATTTCTGGGCTTCCATGTGTCTGGGGAATTCATTTATTGTCTAACAATGCATCAGATTCTTTCCTAAATAGAAATATTTAAATTTTATGATGAACTCTGATCAGTACATTTAGCACCAAAAGAAGAATTTATAGAAAAATCAGTATGAAAGAGGCAGTATTGAAGGTAAAGCTCAGGACAAAGCCTGAAGGGTAATTTTTACTTTCTGTGTAGACAAGACATAAATAACAAACGGAAGACAGTGTCTGGTATTTCCCTGCACACACAATCAGTCACTTAGTGTAGTTGTAGTCTAAACAATGTCTACTACGGAAATGTCTACACACAGATAACAACATTCTCCTCCACTCTACGGAACTATAATTGAGCATCAGATAATTTTGGAAATAAGCAAAGAGCTTCTGAGACAAAGTCAGACAGTGGATATTGTTGCAAGAACAATTGTGCAAAGGCAACTGAAAGACATCCCTCAAAGACCCAAGGAGAAACCTTTAGTTGAGCGCTCCAGTGCCATGGGTGTTTATGGTCAGCTCCCCCTGCAGCCCCACACACTGTGCACTCAGAGCACAGAAGTACACAGCCGAGTCGCTCAGGTGCACAGAGGCTTTCTTCAGATGGAAGGAAGAGTCGCTCTTGCTAAACTCAGCCTCAAAGCCACTCAAGCCGAGAACCACGGGGTCTCCTGAATAATACTTGAGGAGCAGCTGGAGCCCCTGCCGTGGGTACTGGACATACCAGAACAGGTAAGTCGTCACACTGGAGGAATAGTTGCATCTCAGCTGCAGAGAGGATCCTTCAGTGACAGTGATGCGAGCTTCAGGCTGAGTCACTGACTGTTCTGGAGTCTCCTGTGAAGGAATCTTTGTCAGTACCTGAAGTACAGATTTCCCTGAGGACAGTCCGAATCCCGGGATACAGAGACCACGAGGACACTATACTCACTCAGGAGAAAGTGAACCCCCAGAACCTGGAGGAGCACCAGGAGCATGGCTGAAAACCAGGACGCCTGCAGCTCTTCTGTGGGAGAACTGTCTGGAACAGGACAGGCAGGAGAGTGGCCGAAGAAAGCAGAAACTTGAAAATAGGTCTGAGGAGAGGGTCTGCTGGAGAAAAACAGTGACACTGCTAAGACGACCCTGGAAGGTTTTGTATGTCTGATTCTTGTCCCATACCCTTGCTAAAAACTCAGCCGGCTGCAAGGGTGATGAGACATGAGCAGGTGGTGAAGATCAATACATGACAGAACGCTGGTGAGTGCAGCATCTCCCTCTGGAGGCCAAACGAGGAACCACTTATCCTGAGGGTCCAGGGTTTGTCACCTACTCTCCCTACTTCACAAAGCAAAACTTTTACAACTTAGACTGATTCTTTTCCTAATTTGTGATGAAGTATTAATTCTGTCATCTGCTAGAAGTGGAAGGAATTATGAATATTCATTATGAAACCAGTTATGAAATGCACACCAGACTTCATATGCGATTGTCTCAGGCTGAGTTTGAATGGCTAGCTACAGCTATGGCAGTGAATGCATGATGGTACAGATACTGCCCTTGGTGGATGCTCTGGACTACAAAGGCAACAGAAAAACACAGGAAATAAGATGCCTCTGCTCTCCACGACAAGTTGTGACTCCAGAGTGGAAAGTTTTACTTATAGAGTCAGAGGAACTACAACCTCTGACCTTCAATGCTGGTGAAATTATTGTCCTCCAGGAAAGAAACATAAGATGACCACATTGTAGTTTTTCCTGGGTCAATGGAATGCATTGACTAAGTCATATTCTGTATTTTCTTTGGTTCAGATACACGAAGGAAATTCTTCCCTTTGTCTTTGCTCAAATATTCCTTCCTGTAATGAGGAACTTTCCTGAAGATAGTTTTCCCATGCCTGTAGTATGTGAATGTTTAGTCTATGAATGAGGTTGTGGAGGATGTATGCATGAGGGTGCATGCTTCCATTTCTTTCAGATTTCTCCATAACTTAAAGAAGAACTGTATAAAGGAGAACAAACCCAAGTCCACAAGTGTTAGAAGAATGAAGCTCATCTAAAAAATGTCAGATGTACAAGTACTTCCAGGAGATGGAAGGATTTAAAGTCTTATCGATGTTAGGTCTAAAGGAAGCACATATAAAACAAAGACAGGAATTTCCTGCTGGCTTCAGCTTGCTATAGTGATTTGCAGAGCCCAGTGTGTGTGCAATCCAAGGGCACCACATTTATTGGAGCAGTGCAGCTTTCTTATCACTGGTGTGATACAGCAGGATTCTCCACGTCTCTGTGTTGAGAGAATGCAATTCTCTTAGTTGAAGAGCATCAGAAACACACTTGAATTACAAATCCCATGTTCTTTATAAAGAATATTGATCAAGTAGCAAGGAGATGACCCAGTGTCTAAAAGCCCTTGGCATTTAACAGTAAGTTTTGAGTTCAGATTTCCAGAGTTCATATAAGGCTGGACATGACAGCATATTCCTATTTCTTCTAGAGCAGCAGTTCTCATCCTATTGGTTGTGACTCCTTTGGGATTCAAATGACCCTTTCACAGGGGTCTCCTAAGACTATCAGAAATATCAGATATTTAGATTATGAATAAAATTATAAATGTTACAATTATGAAGTAGCAAAGAAAATAATCTATCACCACAATATAAGAAACTATATTGAAGGGAAACAAAATTAAGAGGATTGAGAACCAATGTTCTAGAGCAAGATTAGAAAGAAAGACAGAACCCAATACCATGAAGCTCCTGGAGACAGCTAACCTACAATGCTGAAGATGAGACCCTGTTCCAAAGAAGATAGAATGTAAGAACCCACGCCCCACTACCACACATGCACCAGGGCACATGAATGCCTTCACTCACATAACTGAACACAAACACACACCCACAGACACACTACACAGTCTTACACACACATCATTCAAGGAAATGAACATACAATCATCACACACACTATTGACACATTATACACACACACATGAACTGCATGAGCACACACATATTCACATTTTATAATATGCACCACATTCTACATATGCGTTTCAGTAACACATACACATACACACACACCACGACCACCACCACCACAACCACCACCACCTCCTCCTCCTCCACCAAAACACACATAGGACTCACAGGAATATAAATATTCCTAATAATTTCATAGGAAACCTCACTTGAAAGACTGAACTTTAAAAGGAACATTGTATATTTTAAATAAACTTTGAAAATTTAAATTTATACTATGTTTTATATTATAGTATTAGAATTTCCTTTGGGGGACAGACAAGAAAGGTTAAGGTTTAATTAGTGATGGTTTGTGTTTCAAGAAGAAAAATGATCAGTCTGTACTCATTTCTGTCAATTTGAAACGAGCAAGCATCCTCTGGAAAGAGGGAACTTTATCTAAAACAGACACAGATTACATTGACATGCAGGCCAATGATCAATGTGAGACTCTGGGCAGTGGGACTCCCAGGCTAGTTCTTTGTTGCATAAAACAACAAGCTGATTGAGACATAAGAATCAAGCCAATAAATAACATTCTTCTATGGTTCTATTTCAGTTTCTGACTCCAGCCTTGAGTTCCTGCCCTGGCTTCCCTTGATGATGGACTGTAACCGCTAAGCCAAATGAACCTGTATTCTTCATGTGGTTTTGATCAGATATTATTCTAACAGTAGACAGAAAACTAGGACAGTGTATAAAAAACTACTTCTAAACCAGTTTTCCGGGAAGGACAGAAACTGAAGTGTAGCCAATGGGCTGTGAGAGCTCCATGTAGGAAAAATTGGGTGTTTCAACCAAGACAACAGAAATAAAATGGGCAAAGTCTTTATAGGCTTGAAAGGTAGATTTTTATTTTTACTTCATGAATGTCTACTATCAGAAATAAAGTTTCTACATTTATTAGTTTGCATTGTGAATATTCTATTGAAATATCAGTCAAACACTACACAATTCAGCCATTTAAAGTGTATTCAGTGATTATGGTTTTACTCACAGAACTATCTTGGCATCATCAAATAGATGTTAACAAAGTTCCCAAGCACAAAAACAAAATCCACACCTAGAATAGTTCCCCTATCTCCATCAATCCAATCCTGCCACTGACAGAGTTTTATATAACAGGTGTTTCATAAAATCAGGCATCTGTTCCAGGTGGTCTGTCGAAGATAGCATCTCTCAATTGATTTTATACACTTTGAAGTACATGTTGTAGCACTAATCAGTATGTAATTCTTCTCTATTGCTATACAACACTGTATTCCATGTGAAGGGTACATATTTCCATTCATCAGTTGACATAACTTATACTGTTATAAGTATGTGGTTATCAACACTTGGATACTACTTATTCTTTCTCTTATTTTTAGATATTAGTAGGAAATGAATTGCTGTTTCTCAAAGGAGATACAATTTTTTTTCTTTCCATGAACTGTAGACAAAAGTTGTTCTGTTATCTCTATTATGTTACCTGTTTTAGTGGGGTGGTGAGGTGTCCTGTTGTAGTTTGTCCTTGTCTAGGAACTCCTGGTGTTCAGAAATCTTTCTTTTGCTTACCGAGCATTCCATATCATACTTGGAGGACTGTCTATCCACATGTTTCTCACTTTTAACCATGCCTTTGTCTCTTATCCCTGAAGTATGGAGCTGCTTGTGCATTGTGGTTGGAAGTATGTTATTAAATAAGTCACTTGCCAATATGTTTTTCCATTGTGGGCCTCATTTTCACGTTATTGGTGACCTATATTGAATCATAAAGGTCTTTTATCTATCTTCATTTTCCTTCCCTTTCTGGTATAATATCTCAGAAGGGTTTTCTCAATCCATTTAAAAGGGTCTACCCCCCATATTTTAGCACATGTTTTAAAGCTTAGTTATCACATTTCTAACCTAGGATTTAGACTAAGTTTTATTTGTTGCATAAAAAAGAGGTATTGTCATACTTTCACATGGGACATCACAATCTGTCCCTATTTTTCATCTCATACAATGGCTTGTGAAATGTCAATAGCCTGCAATATTCATTCAAAAGTCATACTTTCCTCCTGGGGGCAGGTAAGATCCTTTATTCTCACACCAGGACATAACCATGAGGACATCTGAGTAGAAATTACCTGCACTTGATGGGACTGTGGCCAAGGTCATGTATATTCACACTGTGAGCCTGGGTCACTGTCATTTTAACAAAGAATACCAGTATGTGACAGGGATGGTAAATCTACACTGGCTACCTTTGAACTGAACACTTACTGGGCTTGCATTGTTGCTGCTCATCTGGTGAGAAGCATTAACTGGGCACCAGGATGTGGAGACCCCTTCTATCTCATGGCTCTATCATTTTCCTGGATTTTCATCCTGTTTAGTTTTGTCCTGAATAAATCTCTTTGGTATTTTATTCATCTATCTATTTATCTCCTATGATACTAGCAATGCGTTTTTGTATAAGAAGAATACAGAAAAGATAAACTGTTTTAAAATAGTAATAAGTAATCATTTTAATTTAACCTTGTACATAATTAGCAGTAATTATAAAATTAATTCAATGCTTACAGAAAAACTCACTTGTAATAATTCTAGTGGGGGCTAGAGAGGTGTCTCAGTGTCAAAAGTGTTTGTGCAAAGATGAGTATCTGAGTTCATTCTTCAGAACCCACAAAAAACCCTAAAAATATAGGTTACAATATACACTTGTAGTTATAGTCCTGGGTAGATAGAGGCAGGTGGATCCTGGCCTTGCTGTGCAGTCAGTCTAGATTAGTCAGTGAGATACAGTCACTGAGAGACCATGACTCACAAAACAAAAGTGGGCCCTGACTGTACATCCTGACAGACATTTTCCCTGTCCACACCATTTGAAATGTCCAGGCCTACACCAGACATGGAAAACAGATAAAAGGTGATTTATGAAAGTAAAGGAGAAACCTATGTTAGGATGAGGTGATTCATTTTAATTGGCATGCCATTTAGGTAAGCCAAGATGTCTTTTGATAGTTGGATTTTTCTAGTCAGCCTCGGGAAGAGGAAGTGGCCGATTAAGGGAATAGACATTGGTGGCAACCTTTTGGAATGTAATATAAAGATTTTTAGCAAGGAAAAATAAAGGGGAGAAGGGCAAGGCATAGACCAGCTGCATGCTTGAGTGGGCTAGTGTTCCTTCAGGGCTGGGAGAGAGAGCTTACAAGGTAAGTATGATACTTGCATGGGACATGATGTACCTACCTTTGATCTCATCAATTAGGAGGCAGAAGCAGAAGGATCCAAGTACACTTGTCTTCCCTTATTTCTACACAAGTGACTCTGTACCAGTGGACCTGAGCAAGACCTCACAGGCACATGGATGCTGCTCTTACTTCACTCAGTACTCCACCGAGAGCTGCCAGAATAGTGGGACTCTATCACTATCTGATTTCAGATGTTAAGGACAATTGTTGCTTTATATTATAATGGTTTTCATAAGTGGTGCAATAACAATCTTATAATAAATACATTAAGTAACATTATTAAAGGGTAAGAGACCTTCCATTATGAATATTCTCTACTAGGGACACAGAGATGTCTTTGAAGTGGGGCACCTAAATGATATCTGACAGATAACTAGATCTTGACATACAATCAGTTTTTCTCATTGTGGGACCACTCAAGATGCTCTAGCACTAGTATGTTTTAGAATCAGAATTTCAAGATGTGTTAGACTATCCACCTACATAACAAAATACAAGAAATTCATGTTCCCAGCAGTGGAAAATTTATTTGTCTCCAGCCATGGTCACAGGTTAGCATGCATGCAGCAGTTGCCTGGAGAGCACTGTGCACTTGCCACACAGAAGTATGTGACTGAGTCCCCAGGATGGGCAGTGACAAGGTTCAGGGAGAGATGTTTGTCCTTCTTATTCAGTAGGACAATGAGGTCTTGTTCTTCTTTTCTGTCCGCATTTGAAAGAAAATTTATAAGGAACTGTAGACCTTCCCAGGCTCTTGTTTCTACCAAGAGAAGTAATAATTGACAGTGTCTCTGTAGGTGCCGTCAACACATGTGATTCTTCTCTATGGACACTCAGGAGAGAAGTCAGCTGCTCCAGTGGCTCTCCTCTGCTCACACGTGTGCAAAAGGAAAAGTAGGAAGACCATGAGCACACGACAAAAGGTTCAATCAGTGTCCTCATAGCTCTCCCTGGAGAGTGTGGCCTTTAGTCATGCAAGATGTTTCTGTGGTCATCTCACCTCTGCAGGTTCTTCAGATGTCTGCACAAAAGCTGGGAAGAGGGGAGGGAGAGGGAGCTTGGATTGACATGTGAAACAAGATTGTTTCTAAACTGAAGAAAAAAAAGGGAGAGGGATCTTGGATTGACATGTGTTGACATGTGAAGCAAGATTGTTTCTAACCTAAAAAGAAAGAAAGAAAAAAAAAGCTTGCTTATTGATGCTGCTCTTGCAGAGGTCAAACAAACCATCCCTACTATTGCTTCAACAGAGATTCTCTGCCACATGGTGGCCAAATTCTCAAACAAACTACTTTCAAACCAACTTCAGGATCACATCAAAAATAAATCAACAATCCAGTATTTCTGTTATTGGAGAATAGTTCCAGGCTTCCTACCCCATGGTGTTACATCTTGAATCTCTGTGTTTCTCCTTCCAAGAGTTCTCCTCGACTCCTAGTCCCAACTATCTTGGTTCCCTATTGGCCCAACAGTGCTTTATTGACATAATCACAGGACTTTCCACATCAAAACGTATAATAAGAATTTTTGATTATGATACTGTAAAACCATGCTATTATGAGCAAAAAATAATTTTAAAGTGGAAAAGATGGAGATCCAGAGAAAATAAAAAAGGAGAAAGCAGGAAGGCAGAGAAACACATCATATCAGATTAAAAAATTAAAAGTACTTCAGTAGAGTTATGCAAGAAGGGTGGTTGGTACAGTAGATATTTGCAACAGATTACATTGTCTACAACCTTTGTGATTGGTAATCAAAGAGGCTGCAGTCCAGGCAGGAGAGTAGTGGAACATCATAGCATGTCCTAAGAATATGGTAAGTGTTCTGGTTAGTGTTCTAGTATTGTTATGAAACTCAAAAGGGCCAGTCTGGGAAAGAGGAGGGTTTGTTCACCTCACATGTTACAATCCATCATCAAGGTAAGCCAAGATAAGATCCCAAGGGATTGGTTGAAACCACAGATTAAAGCTGCTTACTGCTCTGCTCAGCTAGCTTTCCTCTATGGCCCAGGCTCACATTCCTAGGGATGGTACTACCCACAGAGGAATAAGCTCCTATACATCAATTAGCAATCAAGGAAATGGCAAAGAAGCATGCCTGCAAGCCTGTCACATGGAGTCAGTTCTTCAACAACCGTCCAGTACACAGCAAGGATTAGACATCACTCAAGTCCTCCAATGGAAAACATAAACCTCTCCATACTGCAGACATAATTGATTCTCCATGAATAGAATAGAATGTGTGAAGTGAAATTACAGTTGTAGGAAGGATGATTTAAAAGGATTAATGTCAGAAAATGATACTGTGTGTAAAATAATGAATGACAACATGTCCAAGCCACACAGGAAAATTTGGCAAATTTGATCTTCAAAGCCCCTTCTGAAGGCTGCCTGGCAGACATGGGGAGTGGTTATTGGTTGTCAGCACCTTGGACCATCCTGCCCGTGTTTTGTGGAGGAGTTCCCATCAGAAGCCCTACCCTTTACTATAGAGTCTAGGTCCCAAATACAAGCCTGAGTCAGTCAAATGCATGACAGCTTATGTTCTAAAGAAATGGAACAGTCCAATCTGATTTTCAGGAACATCTCTGTCCTATTTTTTTGAGCCATAATGTTACATGTTTATGAATCAGCAGTAGGCACATTGTCTAATCCAGTATTGGTGAAACACACTGCAATGTCCATGCTCATCATGTTAGTGTCAGGGGTGTTATCTCTGGAGTATAATTTGTTTCTGGCGCTGTTGCCTAAATCCTGCTTCTCTGACCCTCAGAGAAACTTCAAATGCTAAAAATACCTTTTTTATTTGAAAGTAATAACAGGTTTCTAGCTATTGTTTGCTATGAGGACCACACAGAAGTCACCCCAATTCCTCCTGTTTTAGGAAAGAAGGTTTTCCCACAACAGGATGTGAAAATAAGCCATACATGGTATGGAGGGGTTCAAGGCAAAATTCTCATGGGCCCAGACACCCCACTCTTTCTGACAGGTCCTGTGTGCTTGCCATTTTAGGCCTTACTTCCTTTTACTTTAAAGAGACCATTTCCCACCTATAGACCCCTTTCTAAACCTGTTACTACCCACATGACATAATTATATTAGTTTTCAGCCTTCAATTATGGAAATAGACCAGAGTCTTCATTTAATGGATGTCTAGCTGCTTACCTCTAACTCAAGAAACCAATGCTGGTATTTAATCCTATTCTAATCATCCATGACCATAATATGGCCACTAAAGTTCATCATGATCTTGAGATCTACATCATATTCATGCACCTCTGGATTAATGCCAGTCATTCCTTTCCATCTCTAATAGAGCTGTTTGCTCACGAATACTAATAGATGAGGTTAAGAACTTGATGAATAGTCCTGGTTGTAATCATGACTATGTCTGGGATATACTAAAACCCCAAAATAGAAGACACATTGGTGGGTTAAT